TGAAAGCCAATTTCTCAGCAGACATCTTCCTCTTTTTAGTGGCTCATCCCATTGCAAAGAGCCCCCTGTTCTGTCCTTGCTTCACTCTGTGCCAGCTGTTTCCTGGTGCTTTGATCCCATCCTTGTGATTGAGTGGGCTACAATGGCACTGCATGCCGAGTCCAGGCCTGGAGGCTGCTGGAAGCACTCAGCATTGTGTCTCTGCATCAGACCTCCTGGCCAAAGCACCCCAAGCTCCCCAGAGAGGGGGGGCATTTGGGCAGGTTTGTCATGGTGGAGGCAGGTTAAGGTATGGGTAATGGGGAGAGGTCTGATTTTAGTGGGCTGGTAAGGATCAGTGCGGAACTTCGAGAAGAAGAGTAGTATCTTCCTCTATGATGTGGTCCCACGCAAGGACACTGTTTCTAGTATTCACCCAATGCAAGATCCATACCCCCAAATCCTGCTTTACCTATGCTACTTCAGGGCTGTTTCTCAGAGTATGACCAGCTCTACAGTTCATCTCTGTAAGACCCAGTCTCCCAATGCACGTCCTGAACTTGGGTAGATTTATCGATTAGAGCTGAAAATGTTATGCATTACCTTTTGCACCAGGTGGTCCCGCTTTCCCGGGGAATCCCTGGGGTCCCATTTCTCCTGCAACAAAAGACTCAGTTTGTATGTATACATTGCAAGCTGACCAGAGGCAAGATGATACAGAAGACCCGGTAGCTGGGTCTTGGCTTTCTCAGAAACAAGGGAGCTGGGTTTTGTTAATTAGATTCTGTCTTGCAACTTATCTTACTCCCTTTCTTCTGTTAAAGCTACACAACACTGCTGCTGCCAGTGTAAGTCCTAATTTGCTCCTGTGAGCTTTGTACATCTTGGAGCCAGTCCATGGATTTTGCTGTGGTGGATATGCTCCTCTGCTGATGTGATTCATCTTCCCTGTGAGATGGCTATGAAAACCCTGCAGGAACCCCATCTCCTTTGCTTCCTGGACTTGGGGGTGCCAGTACAGTTCCCAAACTGTTCCACTGTAGATATGCAGGACCATCGCAGCCTCCCTCCCACCCAGACTGTTCAATAAAGACTCAGAAAATAAACAGATGTTTTTACTGTAGAAGAAACAAGTGAGTTATGACAGCTCATACCCCAGGACCACTTCAGACTTGTGACAGAACTCAGGAAAAAAGGCGACTTCATGTGATCCCATCCTTCTGGATCTCTAGATGGGGTGTTTTCCTCTCCTATTCGAATCTCCAGCTGCTCACAGAAGCCAGTGCCAGGCCAGCCTGCTCCAGCCTCAGCTTGCCTCCCCTACCCAAAGCAACAAAGGCATCTAGTATCACAGTGTTCATTGCTGGCTTTTGGGGCCTCACCTTTCATTCCTGGGAGACCTGGTTCTCCTTTTGGGCCAGAGGCACCTGGGATCCCTGGGCATCCTTGGAGAACAGCGAGCCGGTCAGCATCACTGAGTCCCACTATTCTCACCTCTGAGGAAATGAAAACAGTCTTCATGGAGATTATTAGGGCTCTGAAATGTCTTGGAGAGAAAACCAAACCCTCTGGAGTTGAGGAACAGTGCAAACAAAAGCAATGAGGGTGAGAGTTTGGAGATGTTGTATGGATTAACAGATGGCATTGCGGATCTCGCATATTGCAGGAGCTAGACACTGAATCTCTCTGTCTTTAGGGGAGTTCAGTGGGAGAGGAGGCTGTTGCATATGGCCTTACATGCATGACAAATATACTGTAGCTTAATAAAACAAAAGCTGAGAGGTGCCCTGAGGGGGTATTGACAGCAGAGTAAGTGACATTGATGGATCTGTGGACAGTAAGGGTTCTACTAAATTTCCTGAAAGCAGGTCAGTTTGAAATCGCCCCTGTCACCTTCTTGAGAAATATAGACAGAAAGCTGTGTTGTGCAGTGTCCCAGGGCTGCCAGGGTGCCTGGCACCCAGCAAGTACTTGACTGATCCTTTGTATTGCTCTGCATCCTTTACAAACTGGGGCAAGGCACCATGAACAAAACCCCTTAACCAGGATGGACAACCTTGACTGGGACAGCCTGTTCCTGGAGATCCCACTGGTGAGTAGGGGAGGATGCTACATCTTTGGTTGGAGCCAGCAGTTTTGTAATGTGGCTGCTGAGACTTTAGCCTCCCCCTTACCCTCCTCCCAGTTACAGCAAAAAAGCATAGAAGGAAAAAAAATCATATTCCCCCCTCCCCTCCCAGTTCCTTGTGTTCTGAGGGGAGATGAAACGGGCTGTCTCAGCGGAATGGCAGTAGGATTTGTGCCCCACTCACCTGGGCAGGTGTCCTGGGCATCACAAATAGTCACTGTTAGGCTGAGCAGTACCAGGAGGGTTGGGGCTGCCCTCCCCATAGCTGACACTGCTCTCTGGTCTCTGTGCAGCTCCCCTCATCCACGTCGCAGGCGCTGTGGTTAGCATTGACCCATCTAAGCCTTTTATATCTAACAAAACCCCAGCATAAGCTCCACCTCTGCGCTTGCCCACTGCTTGCTCTCAGGTCTGGTACTCTGGCTGGGTCTCAAGCTGTTTCCCAGATAAGCCACTTTCCACAAGTCTGATGGCAAAGTTCCTGCCCGGCTGCCCCAGCCTGCCTTGCCTCTGTCCTCTGCAAATTTTGGATGCCTTTCCCCTCCCATATTATATTTCTAGAGGCAATGAACCAGTAAAAACACAGGTTTGGCTAAGTGCAGACAGCTTGCCTCATTCTGCCTGCTAGTGGCCCTTTACAAAGAGCCGAGCTTACTGTGTAGATTGGGAAACTGAGGTACTGGAGACAAAAAGCCCAAGGTTAGCTGAGGCCACTGGCAGAAAGCAGCTGCGCACTCTGGCTCATGCTCCAGTGCTCTGCCTGCCAGGCAGCCCTGCCTCACTTTGGAACCCTTCAGAGGTTTCAGCTTATACATGATCCATGACTGATACAGAGTTAAAACTCTGTGTTTCCAGGAAAGGTTAGGTGGGCAGAGCATGTTTGATTTCCCCTCCCCACCAGTTTTGGGTTTTTTTCTCTTTTTTCTTCTGTCCCTATTAATTGTAATAGTGAGCAGGATTTCCGTTTTTCTTTGCTGTGGCTAAGCCCTGTGCTCTGCTCATTTGTGACAGTATTAATAGAGGTCCAAACTGCCTCATCAAGTTTGACCCCCATGTAATGGACAGACACAGAGCCTGTAAAATTTATGGATTTTAGCAAAGGGCAGAATTTAAGTTTTTTCTCCTTATTGTTGCATCCCAGTTCAGAGCAGCCTGATTTCTTGGAGCCTTTCCCAGCTATCAGGATGCCAGAGGCAGAACATAGCTCCCCCTTAAGCATTCACCTCTATCATGAAGTTCCTCTGACATCCCAAATTCCAATGATATATGACAGCCTACTTTAATGTTAAGCAAATGGGAGAAGGCAGGGGAGAGATAAATATTTGGTTGTCACTTAAATTCTGTGTCCCCCAAATAGCCCATACATACACACACTCATGTACACATTCTTATACATATTCATATATGCACACATGTAAAATAATAATTCAGTAGATGTTGTGATTATTGTCATTCCTGAGAACCAATTCCAGCAGAGAAACACATACCCCCCTTACTTTCCTGCCCCCATCTGAAAAAAAGTGCAGGGAAATCAGAGGAATTGTGATCAGACTGGTTGCATTCAAGTTTGGGTTTCACTTTACATGGCAAAAAAGTACCTCATCCATGGCAAGTGCTGTGCATGCACTTCTTGGGGTGAAAAGAGAGCAGCTTTTTTCTTCAGCTTTTCAGAAAGAAAGAAAAAGGATGAGCAGGTGCCTCTGAGCTGCTAGGGAGGGAGACGTCTATGCAGGGCAGCTATAGGGTGACTGGGGACTCGTGCACCCCTCTTCTCTCATCTGCCTTTGCACCTCGTCTGGGACAGACCTGTGTCTGCCCCACGGGGCAGGTGGGGATGAAGAAGAGCCAGCCCCAGCACTGAGAAGCCTAGTGCCTTATATCCTGTGCTCTGTGCCTGGAAATGGCTGCAATACTTTGTTCCAACCCCATCGTTACAGTCTCTCAAGGGCTCCAGGCTAGATCTGTCCTGCCAAAAAAAAAAAAAAAAAAAGTAAGAATGGGTTTGCCCAGCTTTTCCCAGTTGCTGCGTTAGTGGAGCGGCCAACTTTGGGTTGGGCTGAGAATGCATGTTGTGGAGGCAGCTGTGATGTATCTGTCCAGCACTGATGCATCCCCTTAGGTGTTACCAGCTGCGGGCTCCATCCACCCTGGGGGACACCTGGAGATCTGACCCCACTTCCATCCGAGGAGAGCAGCAGTGTCTTTATGCATGCAGCTACTTTTGGGAGCAGGAGGGAATCTGACGATGAACAAGCTTAGTCCAAAGTAGGTCAGGCCCCCGAGGGTAGATTTTGAAATCGGGCCAGTGATCAATATGTCCTTCATTGCTTTTCCTCTTCCCAGGACTCAGTGAAGATTGCAGAGGACTGATCATTTACACCATCAGCAATTCTATGTAGATTCTCCCTTGACCCCTGGGAAACATCCCCTGTGAGTCTTGAAAGTCCAGGATCACTTTGGGGATGAGAAAACAAGAATTTTAAGTACACTGGGTGAATGGGAAGCACCTCTGAACACTGCAACCCATCACTTCACCTCTAGAGACATAAATGCCGAGTGAAGTCCCCAGAATTGAACTGATCAGCAAATCCCCAAGAAATTAAGCTTAGCAAATCAGAAGACACAACCAGATGACAGAAGAGCTTCAAGACATTCATGTGAGAGCATCATAACTGTGTGCAATAGGGGATTTAGCATTAATTAATGCAAAATTGTAGGTGAAATCCTGGCTTCTGGTGGGGTCCTGGAGCTTTGCTGCCACCAGGATGCTAGAGCTTTGCAGGGAGCATGGGGAAAGCTGCAAAAGCTGTAAGTACCTAAAACAAGCAGCAAGCCCCAGTCATTGCATTCCTCTGCTCTGTGCTAACATAAGGACATTGCCACACAACTCCTAAAGCTGCAAGAGCAGACAATTGGCACTGGGGAGCTGGGAGGTAAACTCTGACAGATCTAACTTTAGGTGATGGGAAATAAGAGCTTGCTTGAGAGTTGGCACCATTGCAGGTGCTGAAGGGAAGCTTCCATGAGCTTTGGAGACTTGTCTTGCTGGAAAGGAGTGATGTCAACCTGCAAAAGTAGATTATCATCCAAAGCAACAAGGAAAGATGTTCTTCTGGCTTAGCTTTTTGTGGTCTGTGCCATTTGTAGCTCTTCCCTATAGGCGAATAACAGTTTTCAGGGTTTTTTTGACGAACATTTATATTTCCGAGGGAGAGTTTCTTCAGCCCATAACCAGTCTTAGTATCTGTGGTGGGGACATTTGCCCAAGCTAAACCAGCATTTTTTTTAAAAAAGTTTTTCCTTGGTTTTCCCTTTCTGCTTCTGGGGTTTGTCTTTGAGTGCCTGAGCATCTCAGTGCTGAGACACCTGCTGCACATTTCCCTTGTCCTTACTATAAAACCAGTTCCCAAGGCTCCAAAAAGGCACAGGTAACTGGTAGAGTTTCTTAAGACAGTTGTCGTCCCCAGGGAGGAGGAATGTAGGGAAGTGAAGGGAGGAGACTTCCCCCTGCTCACCCCTTGGATTTCACATGCTGTGTTGTTGAACAAGGATTCATGCTCTGCTTTCCCAGGCCAGCTTCAATGGAAGGTCCTGGCTGTGAGGAGCTCAGCTGGTTTCACTCACCTTGACTGGTGCCTATAGACCCTTCCCACTGGGCAGAGTGAAGTCAGCATTTCCCATAGCTGGCATTGGCTGTAGCATGTCTTAGCACTGGGCAGCCAGCACCCACTTTGAACCTGCACTAGGGGCTCCTTTCCCACATTGTACACACCAATTTTGGGGCACAGTGATTTCCTAATTTCAAGAGCCAACTGGACACGTCTCTACCAGTTATTGCACACCAGCTGCATACCCTCGCTGAACATTTGCTTTGGCATTTGCTTGGTTTCCTCTAGGAGCTGCTGTTGGGGAGCCTTTGCTTAACTCTTCTTATGGTGATATATTGAGACAGCCTACCCAAAAAGGATTTAATTTTAGTGGGTTCTTTCCTACCAGCCTCTCTATCAGACTCTGCTTTGACAAGGTATTTCCCGCTGCGTTCCATTTTCAAGTTACTTTACAATCTCTGGTAACACCTCTTCTGGTCTGTGAAAGGCTGGCAGCTGTTCATCACCGAGAGCAGGGAAGACGGGAAGCGATGTGGTTTATAGGATACGTAGAAGCTGCTCTGCACCCTCCCTGCTCAGATGAATCCTGAAGAGTGGAAAGGCAATGCCTCAGCCCTTTTTCTTTGCTGATAGTAATTTTTCCCATATACAGAGCTCTGGAGACATAGGTGGGACTGCTCACTCTGGCACAACTGGTTGGATGAGGAACGTGCTCAGGAAAGGGGCAAAGGAGGTTCTTACTGCAGGGGCATCTGGTAAGGGTATGCATACCAAACAGATAAGGATGGCAAGAGCTGAAAAGCAGAATAATTCTTCCAACAATTTGCCTGTTACTGAACCAGGCAAATGTCACACAACCGGAAGTTATACCTGCATGAGGTGAACTATTTGGTTCTTGGTGAAGATTTTGCATATACTTCTCCTTTTATCCCCATTCAGGTCTTAAATGTCAACAGCTATCAGTTGCTATTTTAAGTGTCCAATAAATTCCATATCCAGGTCCCTCTTCAGCAAAGTGTTGCTGTATCAAAGTTTCCATTTGCAAATAGAAAGCTTAGGCAGTACAACTAATTCTAGGTAGCTGATGGAGTGAGAGCTTTGCCTTCACAGATCTCCAGGGAGTGTTATTAAATTATGCTATGCCTTTCTATTCTTTAGGATTAGTGACCTTGGTCTGAGGGGAAACTTGTAACCCCCGGAGCATTGTTAATGTTTCGAGGTGGTATTTCATGGGGCTCTGTGATTATGTTTGATGCTCTATTACCTGTGCTCTGAGCATCCCTGGTGGTGGCAGCCCATGAAAAGTCTTTGTGGTCCCGTACAAGACAGATGAGACAAGATCATTCACATGATGCAAAAAGCATTTCATGTTCATATAACATTTCATCTGCAGATCACCCTGCCTTGCTGGAAGCTCCAGTTTATCCCTTGTATCCTCCTTACCTGCATTGCCACCACTGAACTTTCTAAGGATTAGTTTGTAATTTTCAGTCTCCCCTAAAATTTTGAATTATGTGTATTAAGCAAAATGATGGCTGTTGTCAAAGTCTCTCAGGTCAATGTGAAGCTTGTTATAGCCTAATCACAACAAGTTACAGACACAGTGATTACACCATTATACAGACACACACAAGTTATGCCAGTGCTTTGTTGGATTTTATTCTGTATTTCTATTTCTGCAGTCTTTAGGAATTCTGATTTCTTACTGAAGAGATTCCTAACCCCTGTTTAGCTCAGGGCCACTCCTCAACTCATTAAATATTCACAGCACAACTGAAGTCAGTGCTCCTGGATGTTAGCTGAGTCTCCTGTTTCTTCTTTAGACTTCCAGGAAAAGCTGATGACTTTTTTTTGAAAAAAAACCAAACCAACAACCACCCAGATTTTTGTCAAATCTGTTTGTTTGTTTGTTTGTTTATAATGATTTATTTTGGTGTTCCATCTTTATGATTGCCCTGTTCCCTCTAAAATTTGGGCCTTCCTCCATTATCTTTCTCCCTCTTGTCTTGGACTAAAGCAGTAGATTGACCCCACTGAGTCAGCCAAAATAGCAGCCACATCCATTTTCTCCCTCAAAGGCTCTGCTTGAAGGCAAGGGGCTGGGGCTGGGGCTGTTTCCATATTTCCCTGGCCAGGCTCTGCTGAGGAGCCATTGCATTTGGACTGATTTTTCATTCCGGCTGCTGGGGTAGAACACTGTTAGGAAC